TGTTATGGGGACTGAGGGAGTCAGTGGACTTGGATTTTTGCGCTGGTGTAGGTGGTGATAGCATTAGGAGAAAGCTTGAAGTTGGTAGGAAGAGATGCTTTGGGGCCAGATGAGGAGTGGATTGTAAGACGTGGGGTATCCTACCCCAGCTGGACACCTTTATTTAGGAGTCCAGAACCAGGAGAGGGGGAAGCTGGTGGCTTGCTGTGGTTCTTGTGGTCAGGGAAGGCATTCTGGAAAAGGTGGTACAACAGAACTTGTAAGGGTGGGTGAGATATGGCTAGATGAAGAGGGCCCCAAAATAGGAGGAGTCTAGGAAACTGAAAGCTTGTTTGGGAAGACAGTGTGGGGGGACCCTGGGAAGGCATCTGTGAGTAGAACTACTGGACTAGAGTGGAAGTGGGAGACGAGAGTCAGACCCAGGGGCTCAGCTGTGCCTCCACTAAGCATCTGTTCTGCCTAGACTAGGGGAGCTGGGGCCCTGGCAACGGTTAGAGCAGTTGCCACACCCACTCTCTGAGTCTCGTCCTAGACCAGCCTGGGCTGACTGAGCCTCTGTTTCCACATCCGTTCGCTTAGTCCAGTGCCACCGTCTTCTGTCTGTACTTTAGCTGTTTCACCTTCATCAGTCTTGACTGCTACTTCTTGGTCAGACCAAAGTCAGGCGTGTAGGGCAGCCAAAATCATCCTGAGCCTAGGATTTAATTTCATACCTAAATTTGGTTTTTATTTTTGAAAAAATCCTCCCTTGTTTGGATTCGGACATGTTAGTGATGTTAGTACTTTTATTTCCAAACTCTGGGTTTTGTACTGCTCTTTTTCTCCTTCAATTCATGAGCAGAAATAGGAAAGTATTTTCATTCAAAAAAAAAGGTACTTCTAAATATGGAACTATTACATTATAAAATATAATTAAGTGAAGTGAAACTTCTCACTATTCTCCCTGTATATTAAAATCTAATTCTGTGTTACATAAAAAAAAAAAAATCTTACAGACCTGTCCTTATTTAAAAAAGAAAGAAAAAGAAGAAAAGAAAATTGTTTCTTTAGCTTTGCTGACTCATCATGATGAATTTCACACTTGGATTTAGTCCTTCCAAGGTGAGAGCTGACCAGGAAGAAAGGTCAAACCACTCAGTATGGATCAGTTTCGCGTGACAATGCGACTTCTAAGACTGTTTGGTTTTGTTTTTGCATTTGTTTTCTGGGATTGGAATACAGAATATGAGATGATAATATTACTTAGTTCACATTTATTAAATGATTGCGTGGGGGAGGTGCTGTCATTATCCACACTTTATAAATGAGGAACAGAGGGGGTGCCTGGGTGGCTCAGTTGGTTAAGCATCTGCCTTCGGCTCAGGTCATGATCTCAGGGTCGTGGGATCGAGCTCCCTCTGCCCTTTCCCCCTGCTTGTGCTTTCTTTCTCCATCACTCTTTCTCAAATAAATAAAAAATCTTAAAAAAAAAAAAATAATTGCGGAACAGAGAAGTTAACTGGCTGGGAGATGGCAGAGCCAGGCATCTGGCCCCGGATTCCCTGATTCTGACCACTGTGCCCTCCTGCTTATCTTTGTCTTAGGAGCAGGGAAGAGAGCAGTGGGATCATCACACGAGGTTGGAGTTTGTGCCTGGCTAATTGAGATATATACATAGGCTGTTATTTTAATTATATTTGTGGTTGAAGATGAGGATTGAATGCTCTTAATGTATTTTTTCTTTTATTACTAATCACCACTTAAAATCCTCCTATTTGAATTCCAGGAATACTTTTCACTTGTTCATTGAGCGAGTATTTATTGAGTACCTACTGTATGCCTAGACTGTTGTAAGCAGCGAGGATATAGTTGTGAACATGACACATAAGATTCCTTCCTTTGTGGAATTTCCTAACTTTCTAGTGGGAGACACAGACAGAAATGCTTAAGTTTCTATGAAGAAAATTTAATGCAATCTCTGAGGAGAAAGCGTTTGTAGGAGGCAGACATTAAGTGAGGTATGAATTTGGGAAGATCCGAGGTGTATGTTCCAAGCAGAGGGAACACTTGTGCAGATGCCGGCAGTGGGAGGAGCAGCAGGAAAGGGGTGAGTGAGGAGAGCATGTCAGAGATGAAGGAGGGGAGGTGGACAGGGCTGTCACATAGGGTTTTATGGGCCACTATGCAGATGGGTGCAGCCAGGGGGCCGCCATGATCTTCCTGTTGGTGGCTGTGTGGAATGATTTGTAGCCCAAGAATAATCTTGGAGAGAGTGTTGCTCCCTATGATAACTTTCTAACTCACACTAGTCTGATTTATATTCCAAGGTTATTATTCAGGTACATTCAACACCCTTTCTGTATCCTTTCTCATTTGTTAGTCATTAAAAGGTGGGAAATGATAATGTGAGCCCCCTCCAGAGAGAACATAGCATTGCCTCTTCTGTGACATGGGGTCAAGCCTTCAAAATAGTTGGGGGAAATAACGATGCTGAGGAATGGAACTTCAGCTATCTTTAATTTAAAATAACAGGAACAGATGTGAATTGGCAGATGGCACAGTGAAACATTTTCCCCAATATGGTGTAGGTTCTTTCAGCTTTGGTTATTCTAGTCTTCTGAATTTTATTTATATATTTAATCACACACAAGCTTTCTCTTAAAAATACATGTTGTATCTATTTGAAACATGCCAGGAGTAATTTAAATGAAGAGGAAAGTTTAGAACTATATATTTTATAGTTCATTTCTGATATTTTTACTTATAATTTTAAACATTGTACTTTCATCTTATGACAAAAAATTAATATATATATAGTGTGTGTGTGTGTGTGTGTGTGTACATCTGTATCTTTTTATACAGTGAAGTTCCAGAAATAATTCTCATTGTATTTAAATTCAGACTACCTGGATATTAGAAATTCAGTTAGTATTCTTAAGACTTACAGTGAAAAAATTTTGTCAGATATAAGGAAATGCAGCAATCTCTTCCACTTTAATGTTTAAAAGAGCATCTGTTTAGAGGAGCATAGGCGAAGGGAAGGAAGAATAAGACAAGACGAAATCAGAGAGGGAGACAAACCATAAGAGACTCTTCATCATAGGAAACAAACTGAGGGTTGCTGGAGGGGAAGGGTGTGGGGGGGATGGGGTTACTGGGTGATGGACATTAAGGAGGCCACGTGATCCAGTGAGCACTCGGTATTATATAAGACTGATGAATCATTGAACTCTATCTCTGAAACTAATAATACGCTATATGTTAATTAATTGAATTTAAATAAAGTAAAGGAAACAAAAAAAAAGAGCATCTATTCAGAATGGTTATAAAATGGATTGTGCTAGTTAAAGTTAATTTTTTATGTAATGAAGGTTATTGCCCAAAGGATCTCTGCAGTTACAGTTTATAAGGAACTAGAAATTACATCATTGACTAGATGTTTTCAGACTGTGGTTAGTGTATGTGTGTGTGCTTGGTGGACTCCAGGCTTTTCCCACCGGTTCAGTCCCTGTCGTTCTTCTGTATGAGGCCTTCAGGTGACCTTTGGTTGGAGAATAAGGTTTCCACACTGACTGCCATATAAAAACATCTATCAGGAAATAATTTAATTTTTCTAGACTTATTCAGAAGGTACTTTGAAGATTGAAATTATGGACTAAAATCACCTCTAAAAAAAATCCCGTTGTTGTTGTTGTTGTTGTTTGCTTTTTATGGATAACTGAAGAAAATTTCTTAAGTATTCTGGTTATTTGCAACTTGGATAAAGAGAAGTGAGCCAGAAGCCCTTCCTAGACAGGATGTTTATTTCATTATAAATTAACAATGCAGTTTCTTACCAATCAGGAGTCTCACGTTTTGTAAGAGTCATACTACCATAACTCCTCATAACAGTACAATGAACTCTAGTAACCGAAAGTTTTTATTGCCGATGACTTCACTAGACTTGTCTAGACAGCAGTTACTCTCTAAAATCATAGCATGTTAGGGCTGGAAGAGATTTAACAGAGATACCGTAATTTAAATGGCCTAAATATTCTGTTTGCCATTGTAGCCATGGTTTTGGGGTTTGAGGGATGGGAAGACCAATGACTTCAGGCTGGAAAGTGGGAAACTGATAGGCATAAATATAGGAAGGGCCTAACTTGGGTTTTGGATGCAAGTATAAACATACAAAAGTATTCTTCTCTGGAAAGAGCAGCAGATTTGAAAGGAATTTGATGTCTGCTCATGTTTGTCAAAATGAGAGGGACTCCCTGGAGGTTTTACCTAGAGAAAGTAATTGCAGTCAAATTCATAACCTTTTGGATTGACTCTCCTTGGCAAAGTCATGCCAGCCAAAACAAAATAATTCTAGTGTTCTAATTTTTGCTAATGAAATCCATATGCTATCAGTTTGTTGTTAGTGGGGTTTGGATTGGCTCTGCATGGTTCCCCACCCTTCAGCCATTTTAATCAGGTCAACAAAATGACTAGCCAAATAGAAAAACCAGTGGACCAACAAACTTTTTTACTGGTTGTTTTGTTCTCCTGGCTATTGACATAGAACTGCCAGCTATGATCTGATGGAGAGCCTGACTCTGTAATTCGCTGGCTTTATGGGCCTGTTAGTGGCAAAGAGCAGAATGTACTTGCTAGGCCAAAGGAGTTCAACTGCTTTGATAGATTTAGATTTGGTCTGAGCACCTGGGATAAAAATGTCTTTGAAGAAAGTGTCTTGACACCTTTATGTGACTTGGGTATTTAAACACTTGGATGGGTGGGACAGTTGCTACGTAAGTGTCCTGAGGTAGATACTCGCTGAGCTTCTCATTAACTTTGTGAATGTCAGAAAGTGACTTATGCCTGGAAGACTTTCTCTGGAGAAAGAACAGTAATGATTTCCTGATGATTTTGACTGATTGGGAACACACATGAAGTGCTTTGTGTTTGGTGAAAAGGTTTCATGTGAAATACACTTTGCTCTGATCCTTGTGACAATGAGTGAATAACTTGCCCTCCCTGTGACTGTCATATTTCTATAGGAAGCCGCCCTCTGTAGACAGCTCCCCATGGAAGCCGAGACTCTGGCCACCGTTCAGGCTGCTGTCAACCCGCCAGCCATGACCCCAGACATGAGATCCATCACTAATAATAGCTCTGATCCTTTTCTCAATGGGTAAGTTAACATTTTGGAGCAACTGACTTATTTTTGCTTGCTTTCTTACGTGGTCTAGAGTATAATGGGCCTTTGTTTACATTGGGGAAAGGTGGGGAGCTGGGAGGTTGGGGTGGGGATCAAGGGAAGCTGTGCATTTCCTGATGTTGGTAATTGTACTAGGATTGTGTAAGATGTCCTTGGGGAAGCTGGGTGAATGGCACACGGGAACTCCATACACTTTTCACATCTTCTCTGTGGGTCTAAAATTGTTTTACAATAAAAAATGTAATTAAAACAAAGAGATATTTTTAAAATATGAAACATATGAGCAAGAAGGAAAAGATAATTTAGCCAGAAATATGTTCATCAGTAGAAGTAGTCAAACCTTAATTGTAGCTTTTTAAATCCTAATGAAGGGCAGTTGTCTATTTCCTATGTCTTTTCTGCCCTTGTAGAAGCTTGTAGCAAACAAACAAATACAATTATGAAAGTTAGTAAAAAAGAAAGAGAGGTAAAAACAAACAGTAACTGAAATAATGAAGAAAGGAAATTTTTTAAATTGTTGATTTAGAAGTATTACAAATACACAGAAAAATAATAAAGAATAACATAAGATTTACCCAGGTATCCAACACCATACTTCCATAGATCTTGTTTTGTTTTTTTTTAGAGTATTATAGTTAATATTTAAACCATCCCCACCACCACTGAAATGTTTCTCTTTTTCCCTCCCTAGTGGGAGCCACTGTTGTGTGTCCATCACACACATTTTTATACTTCTGATTACTTGTTAATGTGTGCATTCATAAGCAATATTCAACACTGTTCTCTTTTTTTAAAAATTTACATAAATGGTATTATAGTCTATATGCAGCACAGTTTTCAAATTATTATTTTGAGACAAAAAGGAAATCAGTGTCAATTTACTATGAATGGCCAGTTTTATTTGCCTGGTCTTTACATCTTGCTGACATTGGTATGCATGTTGGAAAGTTAAAGAGAGGTACAAAGTCGGCCTCCCTCCATTTCCTGGAAAGTTGGGCAGCACGACAGAAGTAGACCAGTTTAGGGGTTTCATGACTGTTTTGATTTTGGAATTTCTTCATGTGGGCTCGCATTGAAGTCTCTCTGTCCTTCTCTCCCCAGAGGGCCCTATCATTCGAGGGAGCAGAGCACAGATAGTGGCCTGGGGTTAGGCTGCTACAGTGTCCCCACGACTCCGGAGGACTTCCTCAGCAATGTGGACGAGATGGACACAGGTGGGAGCAAAGCCTGCAAGTCCTTGCAGTGTGTTTGCCTTTTTATATCATCCCTTCGGTCATCGCAGTTCTAAGTCCAACCAGAAACACTTCATCTCAACAATAACAGAAAATGACACCTGAAAAGCCACCCAAACCCCAGGCACAGGATTCTAGTCCCTTCTCCTTAGTTTATACAAATACAGTTTTATACACAGGCACAGGATTTTAAATTCTTTCTCTCCTCCCTCCCTCTCTTCCTCCCTCCCTCCCTCTCTCTCTCTCTCTCCCTTTCTTTCCTCTGTCCTTGCCTCATATAGTCCCTGCTCACTGTTGGATTCCTGCCATTGTCTCCTGCCATTCTTTCACAGTGGAATATTTATGCTGTTCTCCTTTCAGTTATAATGTATGGGCCACTTTTTCTCTTGAGAAGTGGGACGGGTACCCACATGCAATTTTTTTCATGTCATTCGCTGCATTTGGGAAGCAATTGGCAGCGGGCATTTGGAAAGTTAAGCCACTCAGAAGATCTAAATTGTCAGCTCCCAAGCAAGTCCCAACATGATAACAATGTCTTCCCTCAGCAATTAAAGAGAAGAGTCAGGGTACTTTTGACCTAGTCCCCAGCCTGCCCCCCTTTAGGTCAGGTCCCAGCTGGCTTCTGGTCCTGTCTCCTCTTCAAGTAGTGAGGCCTCCAGTTGCAAAGCCAGATTGGGTCTTCTTAGCCACAGCCAGATTTAATTACAAAGTCCTAAACTCCCAGAGGATAGTCTAGAACCAAGAATAAATGATGACTGAGGGGTCCACTATTTGGAAGTATTCATGCAACTTTCTCCTGTCATCACTGATGACAGAAAATTAATTGTCCTGTGATGAAAAAAAGTCATTTTGGGGCGCCTGGGTGGCTCAGTCGTTAAGTGTCTGCCTCCGGCTCAGGTCGTGATCCCAGGGTCCTGGGATCGAGCCCCGCATCGGGCTCCCTCTGAGCGGGAAGCCTGCTTCTCCCTCTCCCACTCCCCCTGCTTGTGCTCTCTCTCTTTCTCTCTCTCTCAGTCAAATAAATGAATAAAATCTTAAAAAAAAGAAAAGAAAAGACGTCCTTTCCCCGATGCCATTGTCCACAGTGCCTGTGTGTGTTACACTGTGTTCTTAGATGACTGTCGTCTGTATCATAGTCTCTGAAGCTAAACCACTGATCAGACCAGAGTCAAGAGTCAGCCAGGCATCTTAGGAGCGCAGTAGGTTGGAGCAGCTGCTTTGGGGTCTCTCTGCAGGTCGTCATTGATGTGTTTAGAGGATAGCACAGACTGTCTTGTGAGGAGTCACACGGGCATAGTTTGAAGTGTTTGTTTTGTTATTCGTCGATTTATTACTTCAGTTTCCTCCCTCCCTCCCGCCTCCCTCCCTCACTTTCTTCATCGCTCTCTTTATTTTTTGGTGTGAGATTTATTTTGTCCTCTTTGGAACAGCCTTATGAAATGGCTCCTTCCTATATTTAATAATTGTTTGCTTTCATCTTTTGAACACTGGGAAGCCAGTAAAGATAAAAAACAAAAGTTAAATAAAGACTCAGGAGATCTAAATCTAAGCCTGACCATTTAAAAAAAAAAAAAAAAGATGGATTCTATTGTATGGCTTTTTTTTTTTTTAAGATTTTATTTATTTATTTATCAGAGAGAGAGAGTACAAGCAGAGTGGGGCAGAGGGAGAGGGAGAAGCAGGCTCCCCGCTGAGCAGGGACCCCGATGTGGGACTCAATCCCAGGACCCTGGGATCATGACCTGAGCTGAAGGCAGAACGCTTAGCCAACTGAGCCACCCAGGTGTCCCTGTGGCTTTTAAAAATAGCCTCAAAGTAGGGAATATTTTGAAGCCAAAATGTAGAATTAAGTGGTATTCTGGAAAGAACATAGTCTTTGTAGACAGGCAACCTAAATTGAATCTCTGTTTCTCCAGTTCTTGGTAGTGACTTTGGGAAAGTGATAGAACCTGCCAAGGCCTTGGATTTCTCATCTATAAGTGGGAGTAACATGCTTACTTCATGGGAGTTGTGGGGAGTCATGAGATCACAGAGTTTGGCCCAAAGTTCTCTTCCCCCACTTCTGGGAAGCTGAAGTAATGGACAAATTGAACTTGATAAATGCTAGGCTTCCAAGTTAACCTGGGTAAGTGACTGTCAGCCTGCGGAGTTTAGGGTCATTCTGGGAAGTCTTTCTAGGAAGTAGGCATGAACCTTCTCAAGGAAAGAAAAGTAATACAGTAATAAGATGAGGAAAAGCTGGGGGGGTGGGCACAGCTCCAGTGTGGCTAGAAAAGGTCTATTAGATTCACTGACCACATGCTGAATGGAAACAAGCCAGCTAAGCACACTCCCTTTGCAAATCACACATGGAAACAACAGCTGGATGTGGTGTGGACTAGAGTAAAGGGAATAGCAAGAGCAAAGGTTGGGAAGTCATCCACTCTTCCAGAATATTCTGCAATAATCATACCCTTTTAAGAATTGCCTGGATTTTTATCTCTCCTGCTTTTTAATGGATAAAACTGTTAAAGATCAAAAAGATCACTATGCTATTGCAAAGTTGATCCAAAGAGAGATATTTTAAGATTGTTAACCTTAACGAAGAATCTTATAACTAGTCTCCTCATGCTTTCCATGTCTGAGGAGAAAGGATAAGAGAAATTCTTTAAAATAGATTTTGTTTGGCTAAAAAAAAAAAAAAGCATTCTTGAGTTATTAGAAAATGTGTATGGGAAATCAATAGAGATGAATGGTTCTAACTGGAGATGAGGAAAAAAGACACCCAGCACTTGAGATCATATAGTTTTTCAGGGCAGATACTTTTTTTCAGCCTCATTTCCATCTGTTACATTCTAGTGGGTAGTAAAAGTTATTTGGGATTTCCTCAACATCAGACCTGATGTTGAGGTCATGTCGAACTTGATTTAATTTTCCAAATTACTGTCTTTTGCAATGAAAATCCTCTAAAATATTGCCAAGAGTCACTGATACCGTATGGGTTCCAGAAGAGCCATTAAGCTTTGCTATCACCAAAATGCAAGTTTGATTATGTTTCCCTCATTACTTGGAAAGATGTAATTTTTCTGCTTGGAAAATGCATTTGGTTAAAATGAATTTTCTCTGCTTTTGTTCAGAATAATGAAATTTCTATGCACAATTTCAGGAAGCCTACTATACTTAAAAGACACAAAAGCTAATTTAACAAGTTTCTTAGAAATGATTTCCAGGGTGGAAGCTGGCCTTAGTAACCAGTGTACCTCAGTCTCTGAGGTATATTTTAAACCTTCAGAAAATTGATCAGGGCTATTTGAATTAGACAGTTGTTCTGATGTTGGGTAATCAAGAATGATTGAATTCCTAGGTTTTTCTTTCTCTTAGCACAATCAACATTTATTGTATTTTTGTATTTATATAAGTTTGTATGTATGAGTGATGCCCAGAACTGCGGGTGTGTGGCAGACAGTCTATGGTGCTTTACTCCAGTATGTGAAGAAGGTACCTATAATCCCAATTTCAGATGGGTACACTGAGGGTCAGATGAGTTACGTGTGTCTAAGGTCACACAGCTAAAAAGCCCAGTCCACTGGCACAAAGGTCAGTATGTTTTCTCCTACACTATTATTCATAAAGAACATATATTCTTCATTTCATATCCCAGACACCTCATTTTCCTAGAACAGCATTTTCTCACCTGTGTTCTGTGGACTCCAGTTCCATTAGGATATAAATTCTGCCAGAATAGGATTGGATGATTAAGTGGATTGAGGTAATAGTGGCCTAAACAAAATAAAACGGATCTCATTACAACAAGACTTCTTAAAACCTTCATATGCTCACATACATTGTGACTCATACACATTGTAAGAAAAGTAGATAGTTGTGGGGTGCCAGGTGTGTGTGTGTGTGTGTGTGTGTGTGTAGGGTGATCTGCAGAATTCCCTTTATAAAATACTTTGAAAATGATCCCTAGAGCCATCAATGAAGATAGCTTTTTAATAACGTGGTTAAAGGAAACTCCTCACTACTGTCTTTGAACATAAAGAGGGATGACATAGGTAAATAGAAGCTTCACAGTGAAATCCTAAGAGAATAGCTCTGTGTGATAAGGTATTTATTACAGGGAAGGACTCTACTCTTTCACAAAATAGCTCTTCATGCATCCGTCATGGGAGGGCACAGATCACAGGTCGTTACCACAGTGCCTTCGCATGCTTCTTTCCTATCTCCTGGGCTTCTCCATTCTGGGCCCTGTCTACCCAGGACAAATAAAGATTCACCTGGCATCTCTGCATCTCTTAAGAGTGAGCATCAGCAACTCAGTTTCAGGAACATGGTAGCTGAAATTTTTCACAGAGATGAACTATTTTAGACCAGCAGCAATAGAATCTTGTGTTTAAATGGAAGCACTGTGGAAATGAAGGTGAGCATTGGGTCAACTCTTCAAGAGTTTAACAAACGGAATTAAAATGGTCATCTTCTGTTCTATTCTAGGGGAAAACGCAGGACAGACACCCATGAACATCAATCCTCAGCAGACCCGCTTCCCTGATTTTCTTGATTGTCTCCCGGGAACAAATGTTGACCTAGGAACTTTGGAATCTGAAGATCTGATCCCCCTCTTCAATGATGTAGAGTCTGCGCTGAACAAAAGCGAGCCCTTTCTAACCTGGCTGTAATCACTACCATTGTAACTTGGATGCAGCCATGACCTGACATTTCCTGGGCCTCTTGGCAAAAAACAATGGAGCAGAGTCAGTCTGCAGGTGTACCACATTCTGCCTCCATGACTCCATGCTCCCTCCTTCCCATGCGTCCAGTTTCATCATTGCCTGGATTCGATTGACAGTAACTTAAGTTAAACAGATAAATGCTCTATTTTCAGTTTCTGCAGGCCTGCATTCCCGTGATTTGTATGCAGCGTTCTTCTGCAGAACTGAGGATGCAGAATTGCTTCTCTATTTTTCTGTCTGCTGCCCCATGACTAAGCTTGATGGGTGTTAGTTGAAATTTATGCATCAAATTGATTATAAACCATAAAAGCTGACCACAGGCAGTGACTCGTGACAGGTGGCTTGGTCCAGGAAATGTACACAAAATTAGACCTGATTGACGGTTTCAAAAACTGTGTTGATGACAGTAGTACCGGATGCTTTAAAAAAATATTTAACGCGAGCTTTAAAAATCATTGTATGGATAGTACATCTCTGCTGTATGGAATACAATGTAGTTTTGAGTCCATGCTGGTTCTGATGGTTCTTTTGACTCTTATCTGCAAAGGCACGCGTGGTCCTATTGTAGTTTGTCCTTCATCATTACTTTACTTCGTAGCGTCTAGACAACTCGTCCTTCCAGCAGGAGAGGGGCAGGAATGTGAGTCACAGTTCCTACCCTACAGATCTTATGAAAGAGACCAGTTTGGTACTAATTATGAGCATTTATTAAACAAAACTTTTTTTTTAATTACAAGTTGGATTTTTTTTTAATTGCAGCTTAGAATTTGATGTTTATTTTATAAAGCACTATAATTTTGTAGCTGATGACAAAGGGCAGCCAAATGTTTTGATAAATCAGTGGTGACTGTATTTTTTTTTGTCTTTTGAAACCGTTCTGAAAACATCAGGACGACCTAGCTTTCAACCCGACAGCACACACAGTAAACTGTTGCTTTTTTAATGCTGAAGCCTTATCAGCTTTGCTTTCCAGATTTCAAGTGTTTAAAAGAATCTTATCTATGAAACTGTTTGAAGGATGAAGCAGATCTCTGACTGACGTGTAAAAAAAAAAAAAAAACCCTCTGAAGGGTGTACGGTGGAGACTTGTGTTTCTGAATTCAGTAAAATTGATTCCTAAGTATATTATCCTAACCCTGTTTGCTACAGTTGGTATAAAAAGGCATGAAATATGTACTCAATACCTCTTATGTAACCAAAAACATTTTTTATTAGCTTTTAAGGACTGAGAGAGAGCATCAGGTTCACCCGGCGTGCACTCTGCCTGCATTACCCATGAAGTCCTCAATCGTTGAATATTTTGAACTGACATTATTTATAATCTATGAATTTAATATCTTTTTTGAAAGACATTAATAATTCAGGTCTCTGAGAGGAACCTTCCATTCCCAAGGGGGCTTATCTATTGGGGATCTTAAATAAGATCCTTTTCCATCTACCAGAATAGAGACAGGCAGAATACATTTTATCTGGTTGGAAAGAAGGCAAGTGAAAAGGTCAGAGATGAAGTAGTAAAGTCACGGTCGATAGTGGAAGGATACTAGTTGGGAAATGGAAACAGACAAGTGATAGTACCCCAAAAGCAAGATGAGCGGGATGGTAGGAGAGGTGCCCAAAAGAACAAAGCAACGATTTTCTACTACAGCTTTTATACCAAAAGACTGTTGTAGAAGAAAGGGCTTCGGTGCACTTTACGGGGAAGGAGGAGGGGCAGGGCTGGTGTCGCCCTGTCCAAGCTGACGCTGAGCGTGTCTGTGGGCAAGAGCATAAGCCTGCTGTGCTTCCAACACAATGAAGTGATTTCTTTTTCCTGAAGGACCCATGGTATATGTTCTGATTCCTTTTCTCTCTAAGCGCTCTGAGAGAGATCGGGGTAGATGTTTTGTGTTTGCTACTAAATTGAAGGGAGCACTATTTCTTTTTCTCTTTTGTGAGCAATAATTGCAAAAAGAGTTGTACATTCTTTCTAAGAAAAACAAAAAACAAGGGACCTAACAAAACTGAGCAGTGTTACTGTATTTTTTAAAAAAATATTTTTATAGACTCCTTTTCAGGTTATTAAGTGTAAAAGAAACAGATACCCCTCTTTTTTTAAAGTAGTTAAAACATCGGTGATTTGTATTATCAATTTTTAGAAGTAATTTCCTAGTAAGCTTGTGGCATTATAAAACACTAGAAGATCTTTTTTTAGTGAAATTAGTTGAAACATTTATTAATGAACATAACAAATATTTTTCCAGAATGAAATATGAACCATGACTACATGTTTACTAATAGACAAAGCCAGATGTAATTTTTTTGTTATGTTTTTAAGGCCATAAAATACGGCCTTTGTTAAAGAACACTAAAGCTAGAAATCTGAAAGTAAGAACAACTTTTGGAAGGGTTTTTCCTATTATTGTAAGTGTAAAAACCCCTGCCGAATTCATGATAAGGTGCTATTTATATTTCTTATTATAAAAGAACTGCCAGGATATCTTGTCTTTTCAATCCTAAATCAGTAAATTTCAACATTTCATCTGATAACTTTGCCATGGAAAAGGCATATTAAAAATTGAAATGGAAAAACAATTTCAGAGATCTTTCTTGCAAGGTATCGATATCCTGACAGAACACATTTTCTTGAAGTAAATACATTGTCAAAACCTGTTTGCAATTCTACTAAGTCCAAGTAATTGTTAGTGTTTCACCAGCGTATTTAGGATGTGAGATGCCATTTCTTTCACTGATTGCACAACATGCAGGAAGCACGTAAGACAAAGTAAAACAGTTAATGTGTGTGTTGGGGGGGGGGTTGCTCTTGACCCCGGCGTGGTAGAAAAGCTCTCTGTAGAAGGTGAGAGAAGTGTTGCTAATTATAAGTTGTGTTCTTAACGACAAAATTAGAAAGTAACTTCTGAAAGTACAACTTTTATGAAAAAAATAAGCTGTTAAAAAAAGGAAATTGTAGATTAATTTAATTGGGAAAATGGGCGATTGACAGAGACCGTTTCCCTAACATACTACATCATTTATGTGCTAGTACTTTAACTTTTTAAAAAATTTACTTCTACGTTTTGTAATATGACATATGTGTGTTTATTTTTAATTTAGAATGCTCTGCCTGCAGAAGGTATGCAGCCAAATCAATCATATCAAACCATTTTACCTGGAGTTTGGTACTGGTTTTTACTTCTCTGATTCTGTATAAGAAAAATAAATACAATTGAATTTCCACTTGGAGCCTTTGTCTTTTCGTTATTTGTGTGTGTTTCTTTTACTCAAGGCTTTGGGTGGTACTGAAGAAGGGCTTATGTAACTCTCCTGGCAGACAATGAAAGAAAGACAGTTTTGTAGGCCAATGTCGTTTGGCCTCAAATGTCTGGTCTTCAATATCCTAAGTATCCACAGACTCCTGGTTTCCCCTTTATTTGAAGCAATCCACTGAGGTTTTTTTTTTTTGTGTGTGTGTATATATATAATTTACATCTTATATATATGACTTACATATAATATATATAATTTTTTTTTAATCACACTGTCCTCCCAACACCCTCACGGATTTGACTGAGATGCCAGAACTATAGGATTCTCAGTCTTTCCTGTGTTGTTAACATTATAGCGTGGTTTCTTGTTATCTAAACTAAGAACAGCTTATTCATTCTGAGTGTGGGCTTGTGACAGTATATTTTCTCTGTCCCTTGAGTCCCCTGATTCTCACTGTTGTCATATCTTTGTCCACAGAAACATTAGGTGAGAGCACTCAGTAAAAGAGTGTTTTCAAGCAGGAGCTAAACAACAGAAGAGATGCTGGTGGGAACAGCTTACCAACATTCCAGAGCCTTAAGTCTCATGCATTTGTTTTTAAAAAAAATTTTTTTTAATTCCAGGATAATTAATGTACAGTGTTACATTAGTTTCAGGTATACAGTGTAGTAGTGATTGAACAATTCTCTTTTAACTCAGTACTCATCACGGTAAGTGTACTCTTAATCCCCATCACCTGTTTAACCCATCCTCCACCGCCCACCTTCCCTCTGGTAACCATCAGTTTGTTCTCTATAGTTAAGTCTGTTTTTTTGTTTGCCTCTTTTTTCTTTGTTTTGTTTCTTAATTTCCACATACAAATGAAATCATATGGTATCTTTCTCTGACTTATTTCACTTGGCATTATACCCTCTAGATCCATCCATGTTGTAGCAAATGTCAAGATTTCCTTCTTTTTTATGGCTGAGTAATATTCTAATGTGTGTGTATACCACCATTTCTTTATCCATTTCATCCGTGGACACTTGGGCTGCCTACATTATTTGGCTGTTGTAAATCATGCTGTAATAAACAGGGGTGCATGCATCTTTTCAAATTAGTTCTCATAATTCTTTGGGTAAATATTAAGTAGTGGGATTACTGGATCATAGGGTAGTTCTATTTTTTATTTTTTGAGGAAACTTCATAGTGTTTTCCACAGTGGCTGCACCAGTTTGCATTCCCATCAACAGTGCACGAGGCTTTCTTTTTCTCCACATGCTCACCAACACTTGTTTTTGTGTTGTTGATTTTAGGCATTCTGACAGGTGTGAGGTGATATCTCATTGTGGTTTTGATTGGCATTTCCCTGATAATGAGTGATGTTGGGCATCTTTTCATGTGGCTGTTGGCCATCTGTATGTTTTCTTTGGAGAAATGTGTGTTCATGTCTTCTACCCATTTTAGTTGGATTATTCATTTTTTTGCTGTTCAGTTGTATAAGTTCTTTCTATATTTTGAATACTAACCTCTTACCAGATGTATCATTTGCAGATAACTTCTCCCATTCAGTAGCTTGTCTTACTTTTGTTGATTGTTGTCTTTGCTGTGCAGAAGCTTTTTATTTTGATGTAGTCTCATGCATTCTTTTTAAAAACCGTATTTCATCATCACTGCCAATGTAACATGCACTGCTTGTTGAAAATGTTATAAATACCAACATGTATAAGGTAAAAAGTGGAACTTCTCTATCCCCCAAGTCTCACACTTTAAAAAAATATATAAGATTTTTTTCCTAGAAGTTGGATTTTTTTAACAAGAAAAATAATGACACATGCTATTTTTAAGCTTTCATTTTTTCTCTATTTTTTTAAAAGATTTTATTTATCTGACAGAGACACAGCGAGAGAGGAAACACAAACAGGGGGAGTGGGAGAGGGAGAAGCAGGCTTCCCGCAGAGCAGGGAGCCCGATGTGGGGCTCGATCCCAGGACCCTGGGATCATGACCTGAGCCGAAGGCAGATGCTTAATGACTGAGCCACCCAGGTGCCCTCATTTTTTCTCTTAATAATGATATTACTAATAGTTACTGATCATTTACTATGTGCCAAGCACCACGCAAAAACACCTGATATGTATTACCTAATTTAATCTGCATAGTGACCCTATCATTTCAATATTATCCTTACTTTATAGATGAAGAATTTAAGAGGTTAAATCTTTTTCATGAGGTTACACAGTAAGCAACAAATATACCCAATATCTCATGGGCATCTTTCCATGCCAGGACATAGAGTTGTATACTGGATTATTTTGAACAACTAATATTTTATATGGATGTCCCCTATTGCTAGCCAGTTTTTAGTTTTTGCCTTTATAGATAGTGCTACAGTAACCAGCCCATTCTCGTGTGAATATGGCTGGAGGATAAATTCCAAGAAAAAATCATTACATCATGCGATCTTAAATTTTGATAGATTCTGTTAAATATTTTTGAAAGGAAGGATGGTACCGATTTATACTTCCAACAACAACAGATGCAAAGGACTGTCTCATGATTGCCAATCTGGAGCTGAATATTGCCTCTTTGTTTTGTTTTGTTTTGAAGATTGAGGAGTTTTCCTACAAACATGCAATTTCAAAAATAAAAATAATCAAATCCGATTTGAATAAACATTAACATTTTGGGGTTTTTTTCCCCCCACTGTACATTCCATAAAATATTTGGGAAGATATGTAGAATATATGAAGTTCAAAAATTGAATGAAAAATGTATTTCCTATCAATAAATATAATACAAATTAGTCTCTTCTGTTTTTCTTCCAGCTTTATCAAGATATAATTGACATACGGTGTAGTGATTTTATGTATATATATATATTGGAAAATGATTACCACAATAAGGTTAGTTAATACATGTATCTCCTCACATAGCTACTTTTTTTTTTTTGTGGTGAGAACTTTTGACTAACTCTTAAGTCTGTATAAATAGAAAATACCATACTGTTACAGCCTGTATTTCCTTTTTTTTTTCCCCCAGTTTGTATTTCTTTTTTTTTTTTTTAAAGATTTATTTGTTTGAGAGAGAGAGAATGAGAGATAGATAGCACGAGAGGGAAGAGGGTCAGAGGGAGAAGCAGACTCCCCGCTGAGCAGGAAGCCCGACGTGGGACTCGATCCCGGGACTCCAGGATCATGACCCGAGCCGAAGGCAGTTGCTTAACCAACTGAACCACCCAGGCGCCCCCCCCCAGTTTGTATTTCTTGAATTAATAGTGAAATTGATATTTTCATAATACTGTTGTCTATAGTGAGTGATGTCAGTTCTCCACCCAGATAGCCTTAGATTTCTTTTTACTGTTTTGTGCACCCCATCTCCCACGTTGGTGTGTTTTTGC